GAGATCAACAGACGGATTAGTGCGGCGGCTGCAGTGATGCGGACGTGTGTTTGAAGCACTGGTTCACCAGCTAACCCTGTTCATGTTTTTACAGACGAATCACTGAGGTGATCACTTTAAAGTGTCTTTGAGTTGGTTTTCAACTTTGCTTTTGTTCTCAGCTTTGTGTTTATGTATAAAACACCAGGTTTCGAAATGTATTCAGTAACTGTACCTAATGCCACACCTGATGCAGGTTTTAAATAATTATACACCTTAAGAGTCTCCTATAGCATCACCTACAATCCAAACATAGCTTCTGTGCTTCTTTACTATTCAGCCTCTTTTGACTCAGCAGGCAACTTTCAGACAACGTCCTATACTTTACCAAGATACAAACAGGCCCAACCTTCACTGACCATGTTTCCTGTGGTAAATACAGACCATCCAGGATGCGACTGCTTCACAGTTTTTTAATCTTAACTACTGAACACAGTTGTCATTGGTTTCCATTGATCACAATAGGCAGGATGTAGCTATAATAGAACTGCAGAGAGAGAAGAGAGAGAAGTTGTTTAACACAGACATGACAGTCATTATAATTTATAATTAAGCTATAAATATTTTATTTGAGACATTTAAATAACATATTACTTGCTCAAAACACATTTACAGACATTAATGATTGTTGTGTTGCTCAGTGAGTTTTAAAAGTCCAATTTGTTGAGGTTACATGTTTCAACATAAAAGAAAAGTTTGTCACTGTAACCACAAGGAAATGAAGCAGCAGCAAGGGTCACTACACAAACCACAGGTGCAGATGCAGCTTTTAGCATGAAGAGCGTTGGTTATATTTTGACCCTTCCCTATAATTAGCGGTCCAACGGTATGTTGCATTCATGTCCATAACAGTCTTACTGCTCTAGAAATCATTACAGCAGTATTATAGGGGTATACTCTCTCACATGTACTCACCTGTTACTTTTCCTTCTCCATAACCAACACTGGTACCAAAAAAAACAAAACAACTTCATGATCTCCCTGCCATGCTTTCCAGGTCCCAGATATCATTGATCTCCATTTTGCAGTTTCTCCCTTGCTCTGTTGCATCTATCCTGCTGTGCTGAACCCCTTGAGTTGGCCTCCTGTAACCATTTTTTCATGATAGATGCAACGAACCCTTTAAATACATGATGAGCTGGGGTGTTGAGTTTTACCTGACCTCTTATGTTGCTTCACTTCGCTGTACACAACAGGACAGTGTTATCAGGAGCACAGACTGGGATGATGACTGTTTTCAGATTAAAGCAGTTTCTCTCTATTCAAGTGTAGAATTTGGTAACAGTTTA